TAAGTGAATAATTCACAAGGTCAAAATATGACTCAAGTAGAATGAATAGATTGGGCTGTCCGAAAGCTAGAATAAGGTATATGTGCTTAACATAATAACAGACTCTACAGATTTACAGTGAATCTTGTTTTCCTTTGAAAATAACGGTCGCTGTGACAACTATGCTCTGTTACGTCTTTAACTTTTCTAACCATTAGTCCGTGCGTAATATGCCGGGAGTGGGAGAGAGAGTTGTCTCAATTTAGTTTTCGCCCTTGATACTTATTTAGTACAACTTGGAGACTTGTGTCTTTTGAGTTCGATTAGGAATTGGATATCCATAAAGGCAGAGAGAAAGAAAACTGTCATATTAATAACCTATAACCTAATACGTTGGCGATCGGAAAGAGGGTAGATGATTTGATTGGAACTCTTATCCGATCTATTTCAGATTCAAATTAAATTAATAACTCACATGAATGCACATATAACTAACAAGATCACGAAGCGTGAAAAATGAGAAAAACAGTACAATAATTTTGGAATCGAAAAGAATATGACCATAATTTATACATTGAACGAAAGTTTCTTATTCTAGAATAGAATGATGATCAGGTAATAACTAAAAACTAAGTTTAACATAGATTTCCTAAAGTTTTAATGAGACTGATATCTGCAGCTCACTTTACATCCATTCGCTCATGGATATTGCCAACGTAGTTTTCCATATATTTCCAAGAATTTCAATTTCGTTTATTTATTTCTAGTTATAATTGCATATTTCAAGCTTTTTATTGCGTCAATGTTCAGAATCAAATTAAAAGTGTGGTTACTGTATTCTGACGACAGAACGCCCTAGGATAGTGTTTCATTTTAGGTAATAGTCATAAGGTAGGTTCACCTGGATTTTAAAAGTTGATTTCGCCTGACGACTCATATCGCCACCACTCGATGTTCCAGTCGAACTATGACTGATTTACTGTAGAACTGGTTCAAATAAAAAAATTGATCACTTGGAAGTACTTAATTATACGGTTCAGTCTGTCCTGCTACACAAGTTCTGTCCATCTTTCTTGAAATCGACTTATCAAGCTAAATAAATCAACGTATTTTTATAATCGAGATATTAATAGAGTCATTTCAAATTGTAGATAAAACTGTGTGAAAATATTTTTAAAAGCAGAGGCAAATTTCCTTATCGTTTCCGAATTAAAAGGGTTTTCATGTTTACCAAGCACGTACTTGATAAAACAATAAATAATTAGACTGTCCTTGTCCCATTTGGATGTTGACGAAAGTTTAAATGGTGGTAATAAATGATGATTGCTTTTTTTAGTTCATTTCAATTATAAACAATTAGTGACTCTTAAAACAACTAAGTTGTTGCTAGCAGTGGGATTTTATACATGCGTTTCATATTGTTTGTGGCTCATCATTCGGGTTTACTTACACTCCAGTGACTCAATAAATAACGTATTGAGCGTTTGAAGCGAAGGTTACTGGGCTCGAGTCCCTGTTTGAGCGTCAATACCAAAATGAAAGTACATCCGGTTGACGAGTCCGAGATAGGACTAAACATATATTCTGAATCACACTTCTAACCACTTTCCGTGTATTTCTTATGTTTAGATTTTCATTACAGTTGAAATTAACTTTCTCTGCATTCGCTGCCAGTCTGGTTAATTTTTTCTCTCTCTTTCATTATGTTAGTGCGATGTGTATGACATCTCGGAACAATACATATTTGTATCAAGTCTCTTTAATTAATGGTAATTACTGATAAACAGACTATCTCAAAAATTATATATATCTCTTTGTAGCTATTTTCTTACCTTAATTTACTGTTGGCAATAAATAATAAATAAATACAAAAATGTGATTTCTTTACGAAATAATCGAAATATTTCGGATTCTCTTGATCTTCGACAAATTATACTTGTTATAGTTTCATTCTAACTGACTTCATAGTTCCGGATTTCGTTTTACAAGTCATTTTCGTTTTTTAGCTATCCAAAAGTAATTAATCCATATTTAATAATAAAGTGACTTTTTGTCTATTGTGTCATTGATTATTAATTTTCTTTCCAAGTAAACATGACCTTCAGACATCCTGTGTCGTTTGTCGAAAATAAATATAGATTTATATAAAATAAAAGACCATTATTGTCTGGTTATGAAGATGAATACTTTGGAATCAATATATCTGTAAAAAAATTGACAGTTATTAAATAAATGCTTAGTTTATAAACTGTTATATAGAATTATCTTAGGAAACGAAGATTTCAAGCTCCTTCAAATGAATGTAGAATCTAAGACGCAAGTTTCATTTTATTTGCAACTCATCAGGAGGTACTATCAGAGTTCATAATGAAGCTCGAATCTAGCAGTGATTTCTTTAGAGATCAACGTGTTATCCACTGAGATACTGAGTTCAGATAGTTACTTACTTGTAAAACAAATATGAAGGTATTCTTTGTTGTTATATTCAGGACTACAATTAATCAGTTACAACACAATTATCCTAAAACTTGTGGCAAAAGGACTATATTAGAGGCATTCTTGTCAGGATGCACATGTGGCAATACGAACTGATCAAAATTCAGTCCCGATAATCGATCATGAGAAATTATAAATCGTTTAGGTTTAAAAACATTCATCTGTTTCATATCGGTAGCATTTTTGGATAAGCGTATGGTATGGTCTCTTGAGATTGTATGAATCAAACCTAAGAATCTTTTTTTCCAAACTGCAAATAAAAAACCACGTTTTAGAACATCTACATTTGTTAAAATAACTGAACGATATCATTATACCGCATATGGTGTATGTAGTTTATGTTTGTAAATAGATTTGCTTACGTTTACTAAAATTTATTCATTCACTGGTCTTAGAAATTATGAGTACCTACTACCTTATTTATGTATAACATAACCCTGAGTATTACTAATATATAAGCCGTAAAAAGTAAACTGGTAATATTTCTGAATAAGCATGAAACGAAATCTTAAAAAACAGAACAGGGATGAACTTCAAGCAAACACTGGAACCAAGCTAGATTTCTTCCGATTAAAAGGTAGATCTTATTGTTAATAAAGGAAATAGGCGGATGATATTGAGCGATCACCACTGAAAGCACCTACTGTGAACTATGACTGGTATTAATCTCAAGCTGATGAGTCATATGATCTCATACAGCGAGTAGTAGCGAACTTTCATTCCACTGAGCATATATATCGTAAAGTATTCATTTTATTCTTCACTCAGTCTCATCACCAATAAATAATGTTGAATACAAAAGCACGTACTTCATTTCACTGCTGATCAATACGTTACTCAACAGAACAAGTAGTATTATTTAGTTATTCACATACAATGGATATGTGTAGCCATACGATTTCCCATGAATATTTTGCCTGTAAGTTGTGCTTTTAGATATCGATTTCATCAGGAAAATCATGAGTCCAATGCATGTACCTAACATTAAAATCATTATAGCACACTTGATTCTTGGTTTAGAAACTACTCACCACTCAATATCATTTTTGTTGTGAGAATTTCTTATGAACTTCTTCAGAAGCCGGGAAATGATGGAAACCGTTTTTTTCAGTCAGCATCAATGGGAAACTAGGAGCCTCTGGAAAAACGTAGGATCACTTTTTTTACATTCTGACTAGATAACTGCATATTTTGTTGCAAAATATAATATCTTTTGAGAAGTTCCTAGAATATTGGAGTTATCTACAAACCTATCAATACCTTTGTCATTTGTACATGAGCCAATCTTGAAAGCAAAGATTCTCTCCATACATTATACTTTTTCTCTGCTGTTCGGGGTTCAAGTGTATAAGAATTCTGAAGATTTAGGAAACAGCTAGGAAATCATTATCAAGAGTTTAAGTATATAATGTATCAGCTTATTAATATCTAAAAAATGTTTAATCATTCTCTTCCTGTTCTTTCGAAACTGATATAAAAGTGTACATTGGAATATTTACTAAGAACATCAACCGTATTTACTATTATACTATTTAAGTACTCTGGAATTCGTTTCATACTAAAAGTTAATTAAATTCTGAACTATGGCTATCATTAAAGCACAGGATGCGTGTGTTTGCCTTGTTAGGATGCATACTGTAACGAACGAGAACTTAGGTGTATTTGGTGTTTGGGAGAGGAAATTAATAATTCGTTGTTTGTTTATTCAGACTAGTAGGATAGTCTGACAGGCATTAAATGAGTCATGTATTTTCCTACCCTTATTACTATTGTTATTGTTGTCCGTTTTTGATGTGGAGATGTACTTACGTTCTAGTCAGACTAGTTACCTGTTCTTGGTCTGAGTTGTGTTGAAGTCCTGTAGAATAAACACTGGAATGGTATCTAGTGTAGATATTCGTCTATGGTCAGTTAACATCTCATTCGTGTAGACGGAAACACAGCATTTTAACAGTGGTAGTTTTATACAAAATTGCAAAGTGCCTTCGTAAAATATGAAAACCATACTTTAAATACATTATTTACACATCTTCCCTCAGTTGTCTTGTGCGTGCCTCATAATTCTTCCAATATTGTTGATACAATTACTCTTTATTTCGCTTTTTGTTCTCTTCAGTTCAGTCTTCAGCTGGCAAGCATTGTACTTCCGATTTGTGCTACATACTACTTATATCTGTCTGCACAAATAGCATACACCACATTACTAGCTGAATATACTCATATCTCAGTATTAAAGTTTATATCGAAGCTCGGATCTATTTTTTTCTACCGATTCGAATCCCAATGTGTGTATACTCCTACATTATAAATCATCGAATCTAACTGCACTAATATCATTGTATCATATTGCGATTCAAATCTAAGTACTAAAACTGAAGCCAAGTATACAGTTATTTTATTGTTTATTGCCTGTTAACTAGTCATATTCTCATTAATTATGTTCTTAACTTCCTATATCTATACTAAATGTTTTTCTTTGTAAGTAAAAACTGAACTCAGTTTTACATTTACTACCTATCTTTTAGAATCGTTCTAATCCACATATGATAGATGCATGCGGTGAAATAATTTTACAAATATGTCAACAACTACCTGGTATGTTAAACAGTGTTTTTTCAGTAACGAAAAACATAACTATATTTCACATGATGATTTGACAGTAACCACTATAAACTAAGAGGGTATAAATGAATTGCTATTCGGTCTCAGTTTAAAACTCTACAACATATAAGTTTGAATCCTTGATCTTCTAATCTTGGACATCAAATGGAAACAATCTTTCAAAAATAACTATAATCTAAGTATAAGGTCTGTGAAATTTTCTCAGCTGCCTCCAAATGCTCTGGTATCGCCAAGAGTGGGGAGACTCAGCTCTCAGATGGTCACTAGTATACTACCACTTTCAGGGAAGTTCCATTTACTGCCTTTTCGCGGCGGGAGTATTGTTTACGAAAATGGAGTGTCTGGCGCTCTAACCGGGTTGATGAATATGTATGATCCATCTAAGGGAGTTGGGAAATTCAGATTCCAAACAAATGGTAAACACTAGCTCCAGAATACTGAGGAAACAAATGGTGTATGAACATATTATTAGTCACTGGCTACCACGGGACTGCATCTCTTGATGTTGCTCCACTGTCTTGTGGATTAGACTTGTAGGTGAATGGTCCCGGGAGTGGCTCCCTAAGAAAACCACCTGCTTCGGTACTTATGGATTTACTTCAACTGTTACATTGTCATCAGCACTCGAAACTGTATTCACGCACAAACGTCTCAACTGATTCCAATGTCCAAAGACAAAGGATAAGTTTGGGCATAAATTACTATTATAAGTACTTGGTAGTTAGTTTGGTACTAATTTGATAAAATCCCGAGAGAAGTCAAACTCAGAAAATTATTCCTAAATTTATTATATGGTAAGTTAAACTGCATAAAAGTTGGTTTCTACTAAATAACTGTGAGTGACGTGAGTGAACTTGCTCTCTTTTCTCATCACCTGTAAACCTTCATATAGGCTCAATTGTTTGGTTTATGTACATAAATATATGAATTAGTTTTAATAAGCTAAAAGGTGTCTGCAGAAATCTTTTTCTAATGAGCACTGGTATACCATAAGCGCTAGTAATTGTTTTCAATTTGATTGGATTATATGGTAGTGGCTGAATGTCAAACTGTTAGCAGTTGATTTTGTACAATTGGATTGTTTAAGCTTCTCAAACTAAAGCTAATAAAGGGAGTGACTGAATTTGAAATTGGAATAGTGTGTATCAACTAATGAGGCTACCCTATTCTTATCATTATCATCTAAGCTAAACATGTTTGTTGTTATTATTGGGTATTGTGGAGGTTGCTGAATCATATGTTCTATCAGTTTGTACTACTGATAAGTCATATACTAAGGGAAACAGTCGTCCAGTGCGGTTTATATATATATATATATATATATATATATATATATATATATATATATATATATATATATTGAAAGTCTTTTAGTGATTTTATTATAAGGCTACTCCTTGGAATAGATCGTAATAAGCTTTGCCAAATCGAAAAAGTACGACGTTATAAACTTATGGTTTACTAACTTGATTGCTCGCCAGTCTTATCGCATAGTTCACTTCTGTCATCTAGGATGCGGCTTTGCATTCTTTAACGCTGTGTGTGAATATTTAATACCTAGATTATTTAAGTTGGGAATCCGAAAAAACTCACTGAATACCTATGGTTTTCCACAATGTAGAAAATATCATAAACTGTATTACATGACAGATGGGAATTCCTATAATTTTCAATACTTCGTATTGCGTGAAGAATTGCCAAGTTTTCTAAAAGTAAATACACATTGGTAGGGAGTGCAGTTGATACATAATCGCTTATCTCATGTTGAATGTTTAGAAGACACACAAAGGCGCCGCCAAATAAACCTGCGTATGCTATGAGGGTAGAGTCGTGAAAAATAAATTACATTAATATCACACAATGAGGTTACTAACATAACGCATCAATAACTTAGATGGTAGACACATATTTCTGAGACTACAACATCCTACGTTGCCTTGCAAGTGGTGAGTCTGCCAATAGCATTAGTCTTCCAAGGTCAAGTCTATCTCTCAGACCGTTTATGTACTAGCAAAGTTATCTGTGTTGTTCTGTCGTGCATCACGTGATCAGTTTATTGCAGCTGAGTTGTAAAAATTATGACTCATGCTAGTTTGTCTAATCCAACACATGACAGCTATACGGTCAAAATTGTTGCGTGGGTGGTCCTCCTGTGTTTAAATAAATATAGTAGTTTGGCTGGCTAGCTATCTATGAACAATGCCTTTGATGAATATCTTCGTGCAGTTTAAAAGGCTCCCTATTTTTGGAATGCAATTAGACAAAGATGGAAGCAACTTTCTTAAAGTTCTTCCCGACCAAACATTTTGTATTTAGTGCTTCTTCGTTCGAAGGATTTTTAATAGTCATCATTTTAGCACTTAAAATGAAGTACACGGTGTTTTTATATCAAAATAATTTTCTATGATGAGCTTAGATTCCTCGAGAAAATAAAAAATACCCTTTTACAATACGAATGATTACAACAAGGGTTTTATTTTCTTAAGTGCTTATTGTACTTGACATTATTATAAGTGACTGGATACTAATAAAATTTTAGATTATTGAGTCTGTTAGGTACATATACAGCGTTGATTATCATTCGTTTTTACTATAAATTAAACAGCTAAAGAAATTATTGTTTGTTGATTTAAAGATTTGTATTATTAATTATGATTTTTATTTATCTAAAAACATAAACATTGGTACAAGGAGGCACAAAACAGATATGCGTCACATAAATCATTTGAGAGGTAGTGAGTAGGACACTCGTGGCAATGGTTGTATGCACGTGGCCATGTGAGAGCATTTCGAGAGGGAGAGGTGACTTTCCCCACTCCTATCCGTACCAGGGCATTTGGGGGAAGTTACCCTCTGAAGAAAATGGAAGTTAGTCGAACAATATCGTGGATTGGTTGAAGTTAGGTGTTGACACCGCTGGATCTCAAGTCAGTGGTCTAGAGGTTAAGTGTTTGCGCAAGACAAAATTTCCTGGGTCCAAGTCCCGCGTGCGAGATCGTGGATGCTCACTGCTGAGCAGTCCCATACCAGGAAGAAACGGCTATCCAGTGGTAGCCTAAGATTGATCAGCCCATTCTATAAATTAAAATGTTAAGATGACAGTATCTTCGCCTTTGCGACTGACGTCAAGTCATGACACCCATTATCTCCAACCAATGGTTACAATAGTGTCGTAATCCGAAACCAGATACTCTGTACCTACCCACACGGGACATTCCAACAGTCAACGACTTCATGGACTAATGATACATTTTTGTTTCCTCGTTCTTAATCTCTTATAACCTGCTCCTATGCAACTAAACATTGTGTGACGAGGTGCGTAATGGTTGGATATACCGAAAACATATTCAAACCACTTCGGATGAAGATGAAAGGTAATCACTATAATCCCAAGACAACCTTTTAGTAGAATCTAGGTGAAATAATAGTTGCAATTATAATACTGAAAAACCCACCTATTAGCTGAAACTATCTAACATAATTAGACTGTAATAAAAGAGCAAATAACAATGAGAACAGGTTTAATTATACTACTTTAATGTCATATAAATTAGTTTATGTAAAAACATTAGTATAAATTTCATCAGAATTTGGACCTTATCATTAAACTTGGAATATTGTGGATGTTTCAAGCAAATTAATATTTCTAAATATCGATACCATATATCCCACTGCTCTCTTAATATAATGTTTAATGTCAGATGACATAGCAATAGATTATAAAAATAAGCTACAGATGGTGAGACCGGAGTATGAAATTAATATTTCAAGTCACTGACTGTTGCTCTGAGCTTTATCAAGGAAATTCAGACTTCTTGACTATATTTAATAAGATAACTGTAATCAGTAGTTAGAAATTTTGGATAACATAGCAGACAAAAACCAGTTGCAAGGACACTCACGTACTATGTAATTGAGTTCTACAAATAACTAACGTTTAAAAAGTCATTTATAATTTTAGTGGGGGATGAAATTTCAACAAAGTTCAACCATCCATTTGAGTTACACTTGTTCATTATTTAGTTTCAAGGGATATAAAAAAAAGAAAATCTCTACAGTAAAAAGTATTAGAAACTGATTGAGTTTATTTTAATTCTTTTTTGCACAATAACTACCAATACAATTTAACTCCGCCTGGAGCCCCTTAGGGGCTACTGCCGGTCACAAGCCCGGATAAAAGAGGAGGGTTGGGCATGTGGTTAGCGACCCCATCCCATAGAACAATATCTCGCTAAAAAAACGCCAACTAATACAATTTATAATTGGATTTGTAGTGAACAATTATCAGTGAAATTTCAGATTAACTCTTAAATCATCTGTGATTCATTGTAAAGTTTAAATAGTGGAACGTTTTTATAATTAAATTTATTATTTGAATTACGTAAATAAATTTTCAGTTATCCGATTGTATAATTTATAACTTGTATTCAATAAAATCTAATTCGAATATCAATGTATCAATAGTAACTTGTGATAAATTACATAATTATATACATTGAATTGAATCGTGATCCGATAGCTAAATAAAAATGAGGAATATATTATATATTTTTTTATTATTCAATGAATAAGTGAAAATTCGAAAAGATGACCTAGTTACAGTTTATTCATATAGTCATTGGTATTAATGTTCTCTTATGTTGAAAGACTGTTTGACTAACATTGGTAGTTCGCAATAGAACTAATCTTATCAAAATAAAAAAATTGGTTTATACTCATTTTACTTAACGAATACTTAACTTATATGTGAATAGAAATAAACATAATTTTATATACAATAACATGCTTCAATTCGGGAATTATTGGGGTGAACAAGAACACAGGCGTGGACAATCAAACGTATACGGATACAATATTACAGAGTCTCTCAGTAAAATCCGAGATCCATCAAGTAAATAATTCATCTGCAAAATATTGATTATTTGTCTCAGACTTGATTGTGCCTTCATTTCCATTACCAATCACTCTCTGAT